GGGGGGGGGGGGGGGGGGGGGGGGGGGGGGGGGGCATCAACGGGGACCACACACACACACACACTCACACACACACACACACTCACACACACACACACACACTCACACTCACACTGAGTTTATATGAATGAGGACTGGTGCGAAAAATGATTTGGCACGAGCGATGACCATTAGGGCTGTGATGATATATATCAGTATGACTGTATAATTAAATCTACAATTGAATTTTATTTAATTAATTGATAATTAAATCAGAAATAATGATCCTGTTTGTGTTTTTCTAGTCCAGTAGGAATTACGGTGTCACAATTTTTTTTTTAAAAATTTGCTACAAGACTTGTAAAGCCCTTTTTAAAGAGGTACAAAACTGGAAAAAAAATCAAACTACAAACATTCTGCTTCTTCATAATGGCACTGATTGCAAATAATAACCTCAGTGTATAGAGTGAAGTTATTATATAGTATGTCAGTATACCCACAAAAAAAAAAAAAAAAAGGAAATGAAAATGAAAAACATAACATTAACGGCACTTAGTATGAAAATTGGCACTGTGAAGGCGACTCTGTCTCGGGAATGTGATCTACAGAATCATTTTACTAACCTCAAATCAGCAGAACTACCGAACTGATCTTAAAAACCATCATGCAGTTTCAAAAATATAGATTATATATGTTTATATATATATTATTATAAAGGTCAAAAAAAAAAAAAACAAATTACAAAAGATGCGTAACCTCCCTTATAAAGATACAGTAGCCCCTATAATGTTTCCCGTTTTCACTCTAATCTGTAGCCTGTGCTTGGTGTAGAGAGCTGTGGAGTTGTGGGCAGGTTGTGGCTCCCCCTGCTGGCCGCTCACGGCGAATGGGCGTTTACATGCATTCGAACTCATCGATACGCTGTTTGGTGTTTCCGGAACGGATCTGCCGCAGCGTCTTGTATTTGTCACGCCCGGCTCGCACGTTCTCCGCATGGATGATGTCGTTCTGCGTTTTCTTCGTCTCGTCACGAGCGTTAGCCAGCTCCGTGCTCAGAGCCTAATGGAGAAACAAAAGGATAAAGAGAGAGAGAGAGAGAGAGAGAGAGAGAGAGAGAGAGAGAGAGAGTGTGCATGTGTGAGTAAATTCAAAGATTGTCTTGCCATGGACCGAAAAGTCTGCCTTCGGTTATGATCACGATGATACGTTAGAGGAATTGAAGCTACCAATGAAGTTTCATTTTGGAAAAATCCTGTAACATGACCAGATGATCAGATAGAACCGATCGAGGCTGTGAGTGAGATCACTGAGAATGTCAGAGATGCACCATATGGCCAAAAGTTTGTGGGTGCCTGACCATCACGTCCTTATGTGTTTCTGCCGCACAAAGTTGAAGCGGAAGCGCACAATTGTATAGAATTTATTCGTAGCGTTACAGTTTCCCTTCGCTGGAACTAAGAGGCCCGAACCTGTTCCAGCATGATATGGTGTGCGTCAGGACTCAGGACTTGTTATGTTGCGTTTTGGCCACCAGAGGTCCCTACTGTTCCCCCGTGTTGTCTTCCCTCTGTCTGTTAATTGTCATCACTGCCACCTGTGTCTCATTTCTCTGTGTGTATTTAAGTTGCCCTCTTCCTTAGCTTTTCTTGCCGGTTGTATTAGCGAAACGTTTTTGTGAATTTTTCTCCTGTGAATCTTTTTGTTGGATCACGTCTTTGAGGAGTTTTTTTGTTGTGAATTTTGCTGTGAATTTTATGTTGGATTGTGTCTTTGGATTCACCAGCTGAACTTTGTGGATAACCTTTGCACATGTGTTCATCCCTTCGCCTGTGGCTCACTGGTAGAGTATTTGACTCTCATGCTATAGACCCAGGTTCAAGTCCTGGCCCTGCCAGTGAAGGTTGGAGTGGAAGAACTCAAGTGTCCTGCACAGAGCCCTGACCTCAACCCCACTGAACACCTTTAGGATGAACTGGACCACCGACTGCACCTCAGACCTCCTCGACATCCCAACATCAGCGCCTGACCTCACTAATGCTCTTGTAGCTGAATGAACACAAATCCCCACAGCCACGCTCCAACATCTGGTCTTTCCCCACATCTCTGATCTGTCCTCCAGGCTCTGATCCAGACCTTGGCTCTAGTTCCTGTCTCTGATCCAGGTATATTGCCCAGAGTCCTGATCCAGAACCCAGCTCTAGTCCTGGGATTTGATCCAGGTCCAGTCCCCATCTCTGGTCTCAGTCCCTGACAGAGGTCTATTGCCTATCTCTGAATCTGCTCTGAGTCCAGATTCAGAACCTAGCTCTGGTTCTGGTGTCTGACTCCAATCCTATATCTAAATCTACTGCAGATCCAGTCCCCATAACAGACTCAAACTTAATCTCAGTATTTGATCTTGCCCCTGGATCCTGTCTGCTCCTGGCCATGGGTTCTCGGTTTGTAATCTGCAGTGTGTATATATATATATATGTGTGTATGATGTTCTTACCTGCAGGTGTTTGTGCACTCGTTCATTTTTCTCGGCCTCGGTCATGCGCTCCTCCTCGCTGCGGTCCTTGTACGCAGCAGCGTTGGTAAGTTCGGCACTGGCCTCCGCACTGCTCTCATCACTCTCGTCATGATCACTCTCTCCGTGAACGGGCTCCTGCACGTGAGCCGTCATCACCGTGTTCTTCAGCTCCTCCTTCGTCTTCTCCAGGTCCTCCTGAACCAAGGTAGCCTGAGTGGGATTACGACACGTTATTAAACTCTCCTTTACTACAACTTCGCTTCAGAACTCGGCTACTTGTCCAATTTAGCAGGAGGAAGTCCGATCACCTCAGGGTGAGTACAGAACTCTAACGTAGTTTATCTTAGGGTTATCTTACGAACAGGACACAATCTAAAAATGACAAAAATGGATAAAATGTACATTGCTTCAGAAGGATAATACTCATAAACTTATGGACGTTTAGGTTTCATCATAAAATCATGCTATTTTTTCAATAATGTATTTATAACTTGTTTATTTCTGTAGCATCTAGACGGTGAGACATTCCATTGTGTAAAGAGACAGAGTGGCGATTTGTCTTTAAATAGAACTGACTCGAGCAGCAGGACCACGAGAAGAGGTGTGTGTGTGTGCGTGTGTGTGTCAGGGAGGTTGCTTTCTCACTCTCTACGCTCCAGGATATCCCCAGTGGAGTGAGGGAGTCCGCCCTTCCAAATAAACGAGTGTGAAAGAAAAGGAAAGAATGGAAAAGTTAAAAAGCGTCTGGGAGGAGGGTGAAGGGAAGGTCGAGGTCACTGCAGCAATGGAAATGCATAAAGTCTAACAGAAACCTCTTTATTCAACAGGAAACTTTCGAATAAAAGCTCAGTAAAAGCATTTGTTTCTATAGGGACCAATCAAGTGTCCCCACGAGGTCAATATTGGGACATTAGGTCCTTGTAAGGAGCTAAAAACCTGCACACACACACACACACACACTGGAACATATTTGTCTATAACCATAGACACACCCTGTGCCTAAAATATGCAAGTAGCTGAAAATCTCAGCCTCGTTAATATTCCCAGGATATTTTATACATTTTCCAGGTGTTTTCCGTGTCTGGAAAAATATCTCTGAATTTCTAAATTTTCACAGGACATGTAGAAAAGTGTGTGAGGAAAGTTTGTGTTGTTTCACCTTCTGCTGCCACAGTGCGGCTTCATCCTCCTTCTTCTTCTTCGCATCCTCTAGCAGAGAGATCTTAGAGGTAAGCTCTGCCAGCTCAGTGGCCTAAACACACACACACACACACACACACACACACACACACACACTTATATTAGTCCATCACATTTTCCATACGGTTCATCTGTGGCTTTCTGCAGTTGGCAAGGAGTTTTGTCATTCCTAGGAGACTGTTGCCAGGGTGCAATAGTGACTGTTAAGAGTGTGCTCTGTAACTACGGTGACACTGTGAGGCATATGTGCGGTTTGTATACTGATTGTTAGGGGCGTGTTCGGTTACTACGGTGACTGTGAGGCATATGTGCGGTTTGTATACTGATTGTTAGGGGCGTGTTCGGTTACTACGGTGACCGTGAGGCATATGTGCGGTTTGTATACTGATTGTTAGGGGCGCGTTCGGTTACTGCAATGGCTGTTAGGGGCGCGTTTGGTTACTGTGATGGCCGTTAGGGGCGCGTTTGGTTACTGTGATGGCCGTTAGGGGCGCGTTTGGTTACTGTGATGGCCGTTAGGGGCGCGTTTGGTTACTGTGATGGC